CCAGGGGAGCCGCGTTCGCTCGCCCCCCTCCCATCCACGAGATGCCTACGCACCCGTTTTCGCCTTTCTGTCGCTTGTCCCCATTGACCCACTGGCCCGAGGGGTGGCCGGAGATTCGTCCCCACTCCAAGGGGGCCAGGAAAGCGCCTCCCACCCGTTGCCCCACGCTCTCTGGTTGGGGAGGGTAGCAAGGGGCCGAAAAGGCCGGCTCTCTCTGCCGCCCGGCGCTCCGGGGAAGCCACTTTTGGCTTTCCGGCGCTCTCCTCCTTGCTTCCAATCTCTTCTGGCCTTTCTCTTCTTTCGGCCGGGTGCAGCCCAGAGACCATCTCTCACCCCCCCGGGGGGGGGGCTTCCAAAATGTGCCACCCTCAGAACTGGGCTCTGCTTCCTTCATAAAGGCTGGTTGCTCCACAGAGCCAGCAAAGGCCTTCCAAGGGGTGCTTGGGGGGGGGGGGGTGTCCTGGAGCCAGGAGATGCTCGGTCCAAGCCTGGAGGATTTTCTGCCTAACTGAGATCAGGATACTGTATTCGCCTTCTGCTCTCCTCGATTCCCTTTTCTTCAGAGTTTAGCTGCACTCCTCACAGTGGGTGGGGGGAAGAAATCGGGTTTTTTTTGGGGGGGGGAATCAGGAAAATGTCATCTATGACTGTGGTTTGACCTCGAATGAGGTGTTAAGAGCCATCAAGGTACTAAAAACATCTGCTCCTGCTCTGTGGAGACACACACTCTTCCTGCAGCCTGCATGTTCTGGCTCTCTGCACATGGGCTGGGGGTGACAGTCCATGTGCCTCCCAGTTGGGTTTGCTTCCCTGCACCCTGAGGGGCCTTTCCTGACCCGAATCCAGAGGTGAAGGGCAGAGCTCCCCCCTCGCCCCCCCCCACACTGCCAACTGCAATCGGATCCCTTTGTTGCCTAAGGGAGCACCTGAACCAGAGGGGGTTTTTCTGGGGGTGAAATAGGGGTCTGGGTTGCTTCTTTCCTTGCATCTCACCAAGTAGAGAGCTGTGCCCTGAGGCTGTGAGTTGGGGGGGAGCCAGCGCCCCCCCCAGAAGAGTAGTGGCTTTAAGGAACTGGTGCCAAAGCCAGCTCCACATCTTCAAGGTTTGCATCATAAAGCAGGAGTCAGACGCCCTGATCTTTGGCAGCCGGGTGGCTGTAATAAATAACTGGAATGTCAGGTAGCTAAATTGCAGAGAGGGGCAGTTGCCCTTTGAGTGGGACAGCAGGATGCTTATTATGCTGATTACGGTGGCTTTGCTGAGGGAACACAAGGGACCCTGACGGGAAGTTGTCTTCCTCCTCCCTCCCTCTCCCCCCTTCTGGCAGAGGAGGGGATCCAGAACCAGGCCGTGTGCATCTGCCTGGAAGCCAGGAGGGAGAGAAGCCTGGTTGGAGGTGGCTAAAGAGGGTGCGGCCGCTGTGGCCTCCCTCAGTACCACCCTGGATGGGGGCCGTGGGGCACTGTGCACCTACAGGGAGCACCGCCCCTCTGCTCTGTGCTTCTGGGGGAGCCCGTGGGCTCACGGGTAGGATCAGCCGTGGGAATGGTGGGGGCACCTTTGCCTGGAGGTCTCCTCTCACGCTGCCCAAGGGGAGAGCCAGGTTGGCAGGTGGTGCTCAGTCTCTTTGCCGGGCTGTGGTTTGGGGTGCCGTGAGAGGGGGAGGACAGGACCTTAGATGGGGAACTCCATCCGTGCAACCTGGTCCCGCCTCTCTTCGGGCCTCTCTTTCCCTCCAAAGCCCCCCCCCGAGCTTTAAATGGCTCTGACCCGAGGTAGGCACTAAAGGGGGTAGAGAAAGAGGGCACCTCCAAGGCCTTGGCTTTGTCTGGCCCTTTGGCCGCTTTCATCCCTCCAAAAAGTGCCACCCTGTTCTCCCTCCCTCCCTCCTGGTACCTGCCTGGCTGCTGCCAGGGCATTACGTAGGGCAGCCAGGAATGAAGCGTACGGCCCACCTTGGCGCCTCGAGATAAGCTCAGGAGGTGCCTCGGGGAGAGTCCCCAGATAGCCGAAGGAAGGAGGGAAGGAAGCTGCGGAATGTGCTTTTTCTTTGAGGAGGGCCCGGTGGGGGGGGCGGCTGGGAGAGAAGAGCCATCCTGCCCCCCCCCCGGGAAGCGGGACTGTCTGTAAAAAAAGCTTTAACTGAGCGGTGGGTCTCGGAGCTGAGACGCAGGACTGCTTCTCTCACACCGGCTACAAGGAGCCACCACACCACCTCTCGTGCAAAGGAAGAGGGCTGCTAGGTTTCCTATCTTGGAGGGGGGGGGGCTTTTTAAAAAAAATCCTTCAGTTTGTCTAGAAAAACACACACTCTCTCTCTCTGGAGGTCTAGACTGAGAGGCAATAAAGGGTGGAAACACCCTCCATCAAAAGGAGAAAACTCAATTCTCTCTCATCAGGGTGTGTTCGGTGGTTGGATGCTGGAGAAAGTGCCTTGAAAAGCATGTGGCCCAGAGGAAGGAAATCCTCTGTGATGAAACACGCCCCCCCCAAGTGGTAGAGAATTTAATGCAAACATGCCCGGTTCCCATCCCAGATGGCCTAACCAGTCGCCTCCAACTCGTGGTCACGATTCGGGGCCAGCAGTGCCAGGATGGCACATGCCACCTTCCCCCTCTGGCAGGCTGTGCCTCCCCTGCAGGGCGGGTGGGACCACTTGGCCTTATTGGGGCAGAACCAGCCGCCCTCGCTGTAAATCAAGGGTAGGTCCTCCCTCCTGGCACCCACCGGGAGAGGAAGTGCAGGAAGTCTTTCTTTGCGCCAGCTGGATCTTGGCCTGGAGACCAAGCCAACCCACGTGGAGCAGCCAAGCGATCCGTTACCACATACTAGGTTTTTCTGGGGAGTCCCATCCGGCCTCGGAGAGTTACTATTTTAAGCCTCCCGCACGGCAGGAGGTGAAGCCCTCCCTGCCAACCTGTTTCTGAGCGCAAAGGCTCCATCGGAGGAGCCCTCCCCCACCCCACCCCACCGGCCCCCTTCCCCTGCTCCCACCAGCAGGATCACATTTTCCACCTCCTCCGTTGACTTTTCTCATGGCCTCCTCAGCAGGATTATCTTGCTGGAAGCTCAGGATGTTATCTCTGGCCAGGGAGGGAGGAGCAAATGAATCTGCTTTTTCTTCTGCCTGTTGTGAAAACAAGGTGCTGGAGGGACTTAGAACATGGCCAGCCCTGCCAACATTTTTGCTCTTTAAAGCTCTGCTCAAGAGGCAGGCATTCCTGGAAGCAGGTCTGTTGTTGTTGGTTAAGTGGTCTCTAACTTATGGAAACCCCATGAATAAGCTATCTCCAAAATGTCCCCAACAGCCTTGCTCAGCTCTTGAAAACTTCAGATTGTGGCTTCCTTAAGTTTAGGGAGTCCATCTGTCCCGTACTGGGTCTTCCTCTTTTCCTGCTGTCTACAATTTTTCCCAACATGATTGTCTGTTTCAGAGAAGCCTGCCTTCTCATGGTGTACCCAAAGCAGGACAGTCTTCATTTCAACACTTTTGATCTTGGCCTTGGTTTCTACTGACCCATCCTTACACTTGATGATCTTTTCTCATTCCTTCTTTGCTGCCTCTCCAATTCTCAATCTTCTGATTTCTTGGCTGCATTCTCCATTTGGATTGATGATTAAACCAAGGTATACTAAATCTTTAATTGTTTCAATTTCTTCATTGTTAAGGATAAAGTTGTGTAGTTCTTCTGTTGTCATGATTTTTGTCTTCTTAACATTCAACTGCAGTCCTGCTTTGGCACTTTCTTCTTTCACCTTCCCTAATGGTGGTTTCGCATCATTGCTGCTTCCTGCCAGTAAGATGGTATCATCTGCATGTCTTGGATTATTGAGGTTCCTTCTAATTTTCACTCCTCCTGCATCTGAATCTAGTCCGGCTTTCTGCATGGTGTGTTCTGCATACAGATTAAACCGATAACGGGATAAAACGTACCCATGACGGACATCTTTGCCTATAGGAAACCATTCTGTCTCTCCATATTCTGTCCTAAGGGTAACTTCTTGTCCATAGTACAAGTTACACACCAAACAATCAAGTGTTCAAGCACACTCATTTCTTTCACAACAGCCCATAGTTTCTTGTGACTTACACATTCAGAGGCTTTGCTTAGTCTAAAAAGCATAAACTGATATTCTGAAATCCTTTGGTGTGCTTCAGTAGCCAGTGGATTTTTGCGATATGGTCTCAAATGCCTCTTCCTTTTCATGATCTGTCCCGCAGTGGCAGCTCAGCCCTGTTGATATAAGTTCTGCCCTATGTTGAAACGAGCCTGAACTTCTACTTCCCATCTCATCACCACCCTTGCCCTGAAGTCCCTCTGGATAAGAAAAAAAATGCTTCCACACCCCCAAGTGTGTGCGTTGTTAATTCCAGAATATCTTCTGACTGCAGTTGCTGGAATCCCAAGCTGGATTCTAGCTTTTCTCTCATGAGAAGAGCCTGGTTTGAGCACCTTCTTCTTTGCTAGATTATGTTTGTTCTCTCTGCAGGCCCCTGTTCTGCTCCCTGGGGAGGAGATCATGGCTACTTCTGGAAAAACAACAACAACACACAAGTGCTTCCAGAGCAAGGCTCTTTTTACAAGCCAACAGAAAGTACCAAATCCTAAGTCTTTTCCCCCTTAAAGAAGCCCATGACTTCTGCCAAAAGCGGTAGAGGGTGTTCTGTAAAGCCCCATAAGAGTGTGGGGTGGGGTCTTTGCAAAAGCCTCTTTCCTCTAGAAGCACCTGATGAGAATGTCCTCCCCCCCCCGTCTTGCTAGCCACCAACTCCAGGCTTGCTCCCAGCTACCTGAAGCCCCTTTCCTGGGTTCCCCCTGCAGCCAGCTGTCTCCGAGGCAGATCTGGGTTGGGGGGGGATTCAGCCCCCAGCATTTGGGGCTGGCCGGCACCATCAGCAGCATGGACATAAGAAAGGATGATGGAAGGTGTGAAACCCCAGAGCACCGCAGGGCCCTCTGCATCCACGGGCGACTCCAGCCCAGTTGCAGAGGTTTCAGCAGGTTCCGACATGCTACGGGCTGTGCATTTCCCAGCCATTGTGGCCGGATCCTGGTCATTGAGGCTGGAACAGTTGAAGGTTCTTCCAGCACTCCGTGCCCACCGACTGAGCTCGTCCCAGCTGCACGGACATGAGAAGGAAGCCTGGGGCCACCGTAGGGGGGGAGCTGCCTGGCTTGTTTTAGAGACCTGGGAGGGGGGTGTATTTTTTTTGGGGGGGGTCTTCTCTCTGCTGACACAGGCACACTCTCTCTGCCTCAAAGTGTGATCCGGGGAAGGGTTTTTGGCAAACAGCTGAAGGAGAGGAGTCGGCAGTCGGGGTTGGCCCACAGCCAGGCGGCTCTGGGCTGGCAAAAATAGCCCAGGAGAGAGCGGCCGCTTTTCTGAGTCATCTCTGCTTGGTGCTGACTGAGATCTTGATGGCAGAGAAGTNGGGGGGGGGGGGGTGCTGAGACCGAGAGCAAACGAGAGAGGGTGGCCCCAAAGCCAGCAAGCAGTTGTGAGGGGTCCCATGCTGTGTGTGCGCGTGGGGGGGGTCTGCTGTGGCAAAAAGGAAAGCTCCCCACCCCCCCGGAAAGCCCTGTGCTGGTCACCAGCAGCTTTCCAGGCCAATTCAAAAAAAATTGGTAAACGTTGAATAGCACCGACTGCGATTTTAATTCATTTATCTAATCTGTTTTTAATCAGATTGGCCAGCACTTTGAACGCTAGCTTTTAGCAGGAGGACAGAAATGCACAAGCTTTTGAAGACTCAACGGCCCCGGACCTCGCACAAGGACGACAGACAGCTCTCCACCTTCCTTGTTTTGCACTTTCCAACTAAATGCAAAGGGCCTGATCCAGACTGAGATCAACGCTTCCAGGTAGGGGGAAGGTTGCCACATTTCCTGCCCGTAGCTGGGTCACCTGAATTCACCCCCCCTCCACCACACAAGAGAACTAAACAAGAGAAAGCCCCCCCCCCCGTCCAGAGCCCTAGAAAACCCCAGCGCCTGCTCTTCGGGTTAAGGCGCTGAGCTGCAGAATGGAAAGCCCGGATCAGGTGGGCCAGATCCAGGTTAGGTCCAGACCCTCGTTGGCGAGCCAGTACAGAAGGTTGTATGACTCGTCCAGCTGTTTCTCTTGTGGGTGCTGGGGTTTGGTAGGGAATTGAGGTCACCATCGTTGCCCTGGATGGATCCACGCAGGTGCTTCCAGCCCCGCCTGCCTGGCCTGGCATCCTGGCACCCCCACTTGCCCGCCGGAGCCCCAAAGCAGCTTCTGTCCTCCCGGGGGGGGGCAAGCAGAGGACCAGGGGATGCTCGGCGTCCCGTCCCCGTGCCTCGGGCTCGCTTGGCTGCCATGGTTGCAAAAAGTTGTTTCCCAGTGTTGACTCCAAGCAAGGGTTGGACTGTCGGGGTGGGGGGTGGGGGGGGGCTCCCGAAGCAGTGGTGGAAGCCCAGAGGAGGCCCAGGGGCCGCATGCATTCCTCGGGCGGCTCCCATTCTTTCCAGAGCAGGGTCTCGCTGGCTGTGCAACCTGACACCTCGGCAGGACCCAGGCCAGCTGGCCTCGGAGGGGCCGGCGCTTGAGGCTGCCACCTGTCTGGGCTGAGGGACAGGTGGGGAAAAGGTTTTCCAGCCGTGCAGCCCTGGGGCAGGGAATGAAGGCTCCAAACAGGGCTCCGTCTCTTCTCTCCCGGAGCCACCTTGCCAAGGGACAGAGGTGGGACGGACTGCGCCGAAGCGGAGGAGCTCAACCGGGGCCCAAGGACGCTCCTCAGGGAAGGCTCTGGTCAAGCACACACACACCCCTCTCCTCCCCACCAGCCTCTTTGGTCCCCCCCCGCACCCTTGGCATCTCTCAGGCCATCTACGGAGGGCATTCCATAGACTCTCTGTCTTCCCCAGGAGAAGGACATTCTCTGGCCTCCCTTGAGCGCCGGCCAGCCATTCTCCCTCCCCGAAGAGGATTGTGTGCTGATAGCTTGATCGCTGGCTCAGCCCCCCCTCGCCTGCCCCTCCAACACATTCCTGGCGCTTGAGAGCAAATACCTGGTGTGCTGAGCGGATGGTGTTGTGCACCCCCCCCTCCGGTCTTGCAGCCCTGCCCTGCCCTCTTTCTGGTGGCAGTTCTCCAGGGAGGGGATGTGGGGAGATGCACGTGGGCCCCCAAGCTCGGAGAGGGACAGGATCAGCAGGGCTTGTCCTGCATGGAGGTGACTCCGTCTGGACGTCTTGTCTCATGTCCAGCGTTTGCAGCTTTTAAAAAATGGGTGGAGGGGTCTGATCCAAGCAGGGAGAAAGGGAGGAAGAAAAGGGGGGTCCACCCAGGTAGGGGAGACTTGGGGAAACCAAAGGCAAAACACCAGCCCCTGGTGCCTGGATCCATTCTCGGAAGGCCCCTGGGCCAGGGGAGGACACGGTTGCACAAGAGCATCACCATTAGCTGCTGATCTACAAAGACAAGCCATTTTACAGCTGGAAATGCCAACCCCTCCTCCCTCCAGCAGCCAGAAGTAAAATGAGGAGGTGACATTTCGACAGAGCGCTCTCAAAATATCACACTGAAAACATTTGGGCGGGGAGGGGAGCGAAAACAAGGGACAAACCTTTCCTAGCCCAGAGCTCAGGAACCGGGGACGAAGTCAAACCAGAGGCCCTTGAGCCCAGGGAAAGGGGGCCCGGTCAATGCAAAAAGGCCCACTTTGGGGCTAGACTTCCAAGCTGGGCATGGGGGGGGGAGAAGGGGGAGGTTTCCAGCATGGCTCCCCTGTTCAATAACTCTGAATGCCAGGAAGTGCTTTTTGCAGTTTTGCGGTCTCGATGTTTTTGTGGCTGCTGGCGGTCAGCACAACCCACCGATTCCGGTTCCAATCCCAGGGACAAGCAGGAACAGATCGGTCCCACACCATATTGCCTCTTAATAAATCCCCTTTCAAGCTCACCATGTCCTTCAACCATTTTTCTCGCAAGATTTGGTCTCTACCACCTGCATTTCTACTATCTTCTTCTGGATCCTATAAGCCTGTTGATGCTGCTTTGGATCATATTAGCCCTTTCGGCTGCGGCATCACATGGCTGGCTGATGTTTTACCTGTAGCTTACTAAGCCCCTCAGGTTTCTCCCTATGTCCTGTTGTCAAGGGGGAGAGAGAGTGGCCACTCAGGCTGTGTGCAATTGGTTTTCTCCTCCAAAAAAATAAAAATAAAAATGCAGCACTTTACATTTTTATTGTGTTGTGTTGGCAAAGCTGTCCTGCCAAGATCAGTTCGACCCGTTTCTGTCTCCTACGGGGCCCGCTACTTCTCCCAATCTGGAGGTGCCTGCAAACTGGACGAGTCTCACCCAGATGAATAACACCTCTGGACGCTTCTTTCCAGGCACTTTTTTGACAATTGTGACTGCATTGCTGACACCACCACCACCACTTTCATTTCTCAAACGAGGCACAGATCTGCAGGTGCCCTGGGCCCGTTCTGTCCGCGATCAGGAACTGGAGAAGTATCAACAGATGGAAGGATATTCTTGGAAAGGCAGCAAGGGTCTGGCCAACGGGCGGTTCTCCCTGGAGGGATAAGCCTGCCACATGTGCGTGTTGGGTGAGAAGAGTGGGTGCTTTGGCTAACTGTTATGGCTGGAAGCCCAGGAAACTCCATGGCGTGGAGTCTCTACCCTGCACCACCGCAGGACTGGATAGCTTCAATCCTGGCTTGATGGGTCATGATGTCCTTTCTGGAATCCGGACTGTCCGGGCGAGAGGGCAGATTTTTATAGAGTCGGTCCCACCATAAATTAGCCCCTCAAATAGGGAGTGTGTGGAAGAGGCAGCCCCTCCTTGCTCTATTTCTTTGGCCTGAATGGCTCCTGCTCCCCCTCCTCAACAGCTGAGGACTGCCTTAGGAAAGCCTGTTCCAGATCTTATTTTTAAAACCAGGCATAAAGACTTTTTGTGTGTGTGACTGGAACGGCATCTCCTTGCCTAGGGCCAGGGCTGCCTGCCAGAGTAGGTGGGCTGCCTGCCTGACACGCGAGTAGCCTCCTCTCAGGGTGACCCAAAGAAGGGAGTCCAGTCAGCTGCCTTGGCCAGCTCCTGGCACCTGGCTCAGCCAGTAGGGCATCATCCTAAGAGGCTGAGGTCACAGGCGGGTGGCAGGGGGGAAAGCCTTGCTCTTCTACCCCCTAGCCCCCCTCCCATCAAAGGGACATGAAGATGCCCAATTTGGGCTGAATCGTGCTTTCCACTGCCCTACTCGGGGCTCTTTTGGACTACAACTCCCAGCCGCCCCCCGATGAGGGTGATGGCCGTTGTAGTCCAAACGAGCCGCGTCCTCTTCCACGGAACAAGGCGGGCGGGGGGGAGGCCATCTTGCCCCGTCTTTCTGCTGGAGGGCTCGGCTTATCCCCGCCTCCAATTGGGGGGGGGTTCTACACAGCGAGTTGGGACTACATCTCCCAGAATGCTCCAGGGCCCTCCAACGAGGCAGTGGGAAAGGGCGGGCTTCCGCCACCGGAAGCAAGGCCCGGCGCGACCGCTCTAGCCGGCGCCTCGGTTCCCTTGGGAGTTCCGGGCGGCTCCGCTCCATGGCTTCCGCCTGCCCCAGCCCGCTTCCGGTCTCGCCCTAGGTGGTGCTCGGGGGGGTGACGGCCATGGCAGCCGTGCGGGGCCTCCGCGTCTCGGTGAAGGCGGCCGAGCCGGAGCCCATGGAGGTGGAGGAGGGCGAGCTGCTGCTCCAGCCCGGGGCCGAGGCCGCGGCGGTGGCAGGAGGGGATGCCCCCGCGCCGGTGCGGCGCTCGTTGCGGGAGTTGCAGCCTCCCCCGGTAAGGAGCCCCCCACGGGGGGGGGAGGGCGGCGCTGTTGCCATGGGAGCCTTTTGGGCCGCGGGAAGCAAAGAAGCCACGTGAAGGCACGCGAGGGGAGACATTTCCCCCCCCCCCCCGCCCCCCCGCGGGCGACCGGTGGCCCAGGGATCCTGGGCTTGGGCGGGGGTCGGGTCGGGGTACAGGTTCAAAACAACGTTTGAAAGCGTTTTTTTAAAAGCCATTCTAAGGGCTGGGGGGCCTTTGGGCGCAAGGCGGGTGTGAACCCTCCGCAGCGGGTGGGGAGAAGGGAAGAGCCAGCCTGGTTTTCCCTTAGGAGGGAGCTGAGCAGCTCAGGTGCTGCTACAGAGCAAAGGCCCCAGGTAGAGGGAAAGCTCTCATACTAGGATAGGAGAAGAGCCACAGGGTCTCTGAGGAAGGCCTCCGATTCGGGGCAGGCCAAGAGACCCTATGAATGGGCCCCTTTCCTGACTCTGATTGACCTGGTGGGACTGTGGGCAGGCAGGACCAGAGGGTGGGATGGGGTGTGAGCCACCCACCCACCGGCCCTCTAGCGAGCTGAAAGCGTGGGGAGGCGTTCCTGACTCTGTCTTGGAAGGGCCTTTTACCAAGCCCTGCCTGTTTGTTGTGGTCTGTTGCACAAGGTGTGTTTGTCACCTTTCTTGTTTGGGAGGTTTCGGAAGCAACACAGCTTCCTCCTTTGTTGTGGCTTTGGTTTATTTACATTGGGGTTTGTTTGTTTGTTTGTTTGTTTCAGGACACCAGCAGGAGATACGAAAACAAAGCTGGAAGCTTCATTACCGGAATAGATGGTCTGTTGCATGTGTTTGTCACCTTTCTTGTTTGGGAGGTTTCGGAAGGAACACAGCTTCCTCCTTTGTTGTGGCCTTGGTTTATTTACATTGGGGGTTGTTTGTTTGTTTGTTTCAGGACACCAGCAGGAGATACGAAAACAAAGCCGGAAGCTTCATCACCGGAATAGATGTCACCTCAAAGGTAGTTTTCAAAGTCGAAACCATGTTAGTCTGCAAGAGCGTCAAAAAGAAGCACACAGCAAAACAAAAGCAAAACAAAAACACACCAACAGCAACATTGTGGCACTTTGAAGACTTAACTGTTGTATTTCAGTATTCATTTATTTATTTATTGGATTTATACCCCGCACCATCTGGCAACCAGGCCACTTTGGGCAGCTAACAACAAGACAAACAACACAATATAAAAACATGATTAAAAATAAGATAATACAAACATTCAATAGGTATAATAACTAGTAGGATAAATTATGTGTTTTCATGGAACAAATCCACCAGTGTGCCAGTTGCACCTTTTTCCTTGAGAGGACTGATCTGGCCATGATGACACATACCTTAGTTACATCTCGGCTGGATTACTGTAAAATGTTCTGTGTGGGGCTGCCTCTGGAAAGTGTTCGGAAACATTAGTGGGTCAAAAATGCCGCAGCCAGATTGCTAACCGTGACTGGTCACAGGGATCACATAACCCTCCCTGTTAGAACAGCTCCACTGGCTGCCGTTCTGTGTGGGGCTGCATCTGGAAAGTGTTCGGAAACATTAGCGAGTCAAAAATGCCGCAGCCAGATTGCTAACCGTGAGTGGTCACAGAGATCACATAACCCTCCCTGTTAGAACAGCTCCACTGGCTGCCAATCCATTTCCAGGCCCGATTCAAAGTGTTGTTTCTAACTTATAAAGCCCTAAATGACTAGGGTCCAACCTAAAAGACTGGATCTCCCTCTGTGAGCCTGCCTGGGCATTAAGATCAACAGGGGAGGCCTTTCTCTGTGTCCCACCACTCTCACATGTTAGAACAGCTCCACTGGCTGCCAATCCATTTCCGGGCCCAACTCAAGGTGCTGTTTCTAATTTATAAAGCCCTAAATCAGTGGTTCTTAACCTTTGTTACTCGGACGCTTTTGAACTGCAACTCCCAGAAACCCCAGTCAGGACAGCTGGTGGTGAAGGCTTCTGGGAGTTGCAGTCCAAAACTCCTGAGTAACCCAAGGTTAAGAACCAGTGCTCTAAATGACTAGGGTCCAACCTAAAAGACTGGGTCTCCCTCTGTGAGCCTGCCTGGGCATTAAGATCAACAGGGGAGGCCTTTCTCTGTGTCCCACCACTCTCACAGATATGCTTGGTGGAGACATAAGAAAGGGCCTTTTCTGTCACTGCTCCCAGACTATGAAGCTCCCTCCCATAGGGAGCCAGTCTGCCCCCATCTTTGCTGTCATTCCGCAAGCAGATGAAGACCTTTTTCTTTAGGCAGGCTTTTCATTAGTGATTGGACTTTTGAACAAATGGTTGTGCTCTGTTGCTTTTCAATGTGTTTTTAGATTCTAATTGTTTTTAGTATAATGCTTGTTTAATTCTTGTTTAATATTTGCATACTTACTGTTCCAGATTTTAAATATTGCCTTTTCAGTTATGTAAGCTGTCTTGGATCCTTTTAAGGAAAAAATAGTTTACATAAGTAAATAAAAAATTCATCAGACCTAAGAGTCAGAATACAGAGGCGATATGGTAAAATATTCATACAAGGCACTAGGATAAAGGGGCAGTGGTGTTCGGTTGCATCTCACACGTAGTGATGATTTAAGCCCCTGTTTAGTGTTCAGTTGTTTTGAAGCTTGATTCTGTTGGGTCTCCCTCTGTGAGCCTGCCTGGGCATTAAGATCAACAGGGGAGGCCTTTCTCTGTGTCCCACCACTCTCACAGATATGCTTGGTGGAGACATAAGAAAGGGCCTTCTCTGTCGCTGCTCCCAGACTATGAAGCTCCCTCCCATAGGGAGCCGGTCTGCCCCCGTCTTTGCTGTCCTTCCGCAAGCAGATGAAGACCTTTTTCTTTAGGCAGGCTTTTCATTAGTGATTGGACTTTTGAACAAATGGTTGTGCTCTGTTGCTTTTCAATGTGTTTTTAGATTCTAATTGTTGTTTTTAGTATAATGCTTGCTTACTTCTTTTTTAATATTTGCATGCTTACTGTTCCAGATTTTAAATATTGCCTTTTTAATTGTCGTAAGTCAACTTGAGTCTTTTTAAGGAGAAAGATGGGGTAAACATATTTTCAATCAATCAATCAATCTGGGACCTACAAGAAAACCAGGCGCTGCCGAGAACCTTTTTCTTTAGGCAGGCTTTTCATTAGTGATTGGGTTTTTGAACAAATGGTTGTGCTCTGTTGCTTTTCAATGTGTTTTTAGATTCTAATTGTTGTTTTTAGTATAATGCTTGCTTACTTCTTTTTTAATATTTGCATGCTTACTGTTCCAGATTTTAAATATTGCCTTTTCAGTTATGTAAGTTGTCTTGGAGCCTTTTAAGGAGCAAATAGTTTAAATAAGTAAATAAAATAAATTCATCAGACATAAGAGTATAAGACATACAGAGGCGATGTGGTAGAATATTCATACAAGGCACTAGGATAAAGGGAGTCTGCCCCCATCTTTGCTGTCATTCCGCAAGCAGATGAAGACCTTTTTCTTTAGGCAGGCTTTTCATTAGTGATTGGGTTTTTGAACAAATGGTTGTGCTCTGTTGCTTTTCAATGTGTTTTTAGATTCTAATTGTTTTTAGTATAATGCTTGTTTAATTCTTGTTTAATATTTGCATACTTACTGTTCCAGATTTTAAATATTGCCTTTTCAGTTATGTAAGCTGTCTTGGATCCTTTTAAGGAAAAAATAGTTTACATAAGTAAATAAAAAATTCATCAGACCTAAGAGTCAGAATACAGAGGCGATATGGTAAAATATTCATACAAGGCACTAGGATAAAGGGGCAGTGGTGTTTGGTTGCATCTCACACGTAGTGATGATTTAAGACCCTGTTTAGTGTTCAGTTGTTTTGAAGCTTGATTCTGTATCCTCAAAGATATTCAGCGTGCACGTTTAGCATTTGTACTCAGCAGGAAAAGATAGGTGATGGCCAGTTTGGAGATGATGTGAGTATTCTTTCTTCATTGACCAAGAGATACATTGGCTTTGGTGAATCCAAAGGATAAGTTATTATCAGGAGAAAGGCAGCCTATAAATAGGATGGACATACAAATAAATAATTCCTACCTGTTGCTTTTCTCTGGCGACACAAAGTGCATTGCATTGCCAGGCACACCGTTTCTGTGTTTTAACACTTATTGTGGGTGGCTGGATCTGGTTTCTGTGCCTGCGGCCTTGTCGTCAAAATGCCTGCTTAGCCAAAAACGGAAAGCGCTGGCTTTGGTATCACCAGGTGCCCAGAGAGATGAGCGCTGGGAACTCAGGTGTGAGTGTCTTCGGTAACTAGGCAATGCCCTCGAGGGCAGCAGCTGTTCTCCATGGCAAGCCCCTTCTCTTCAGTGGATGTAGGCCCCGGGAGAGGTTGGGTTTGCTCGGGAGATGATGGGTTTGAACCTTAACCTGCTGTGCCTTTTCTCAAATACCGTTTTCTTGTCTGCAAGGCAACTTCCTGCCTGTCTGATACTGTCTCGATCCAGCGATAGACTTTAATCTGCCTCCGGTCCTCAGATATTTGCCAGATTTCCTAGTGACCTGGAGGAAGGAGCACATAGTTGTTCCCTTGAATCCCGTTGAAGTACCAGATTCCTGTTTCCTCTTGCCTTTCTTTGCCCCATAACAGTCAATGAGTTTCAGAATGTTAGTTGTGAAGGTTTTAATTTCGGTTGCCTTTGCGCCCTTTGCAGGAAGCAATTGAGAAGAAGGAGCAGAGAGCAAAACGCTTCCATTTCCGTGCAGAGGTCAATCTGGCTCAACGGAACGTGGCTCTGGACCGAGACCTGATGAAGAAAGGTAGTGGACATTTGGGTGTCCTTTGCTACATCCAGACACTTGTTTTGCAAATCCACCAGGGCTTACCTCTCTCCTCCTCGTTTGTGGGTGGAGGGCAGAAATGTATTTCCTGAGTGAGTTAGTTTTTGCCCGAGAAAAAAGGAGCCATGGCCAGAGGAGCAAGGTTCAAGATAAAAACGGAGATGCTGCGGAAAATGGAAATCTCCTTTTCAAGTCTAAATTACATTTATTGTTCTACGGATCAGGTGATATATATATCTAGCATAGCAGCCAGTGTAATTCTTATATGTATTATACTTAAGATTCTGGACACTTTTTATTGTTATGAGCCCTTTAGTTCCAATCAAACAAGGATGATTGCTTATATGTAGACTGCTCAGAACAGTGCTGTGCACTCACAGGGGTGGTGCATAAGTACCAGAATATACAAATCAATAAAATAAATAAATCTCCAGTGTTGTAGGTATAAATACATTTGTATTTCTTTACACTAGCAAAGCTCATGCATCTTGATTTTTCCTAGCTGGAGAAATAATGGAGAGTTCAAAATGAAAGCACTCAGTAGTGTGGTAAACCTAAAGAGCCCAGGGCTCACTCCCTGGTCCCTCTGTCACGCACACGCCCTTCCTAGCCTCATTTCTGCAGCTGATCTATGCTGAGCTTGGAAATGGTTTTATCTTTGATTAGACCTTCTCCTAGACCAGCTCTGAGCCTCTCGCAGCACAAAGCAGAGAGAAGCTTTATCTCAGATCAGTTCCTGGCAACTATTTTGAGATATTAAGCACAGCAAACAAATTATTTTCTGCCCCTCCACTGAAGAGCATGTCATCCTAAAAGGAAATTTGTGTACATGGAATTTGCCTTGATTTATTTGGTTGGTTGGTGTTTTTTTTTATTTCTCCACCCCTGCAAAAATGGCAAGAAGCTTTTGGGGGAAGCAGAACCTGCAAACCCTCCCTCTTCTATCTCATGGACAGTCATCTAAGGATGAAGGGGACCTCCAGCTTTTTTTTTCCTGTCGCTGGAAATGAGATTTGCTTATTTCCCTCCTCTGATGATGATGTGTTTGACTCCGGCCTGTTGCCAAAACTAAACCAGACATTCCTTTGCAGCCGTTCCAAAATTACGACTGGACACCATCTACGTTTACGGGGTTGATGAGATGAGCACCCAAGACATTTTTGCTTATTTTAAGGAGTATCCCCCTGCCCACATTGAGTGGCTGGACGACACCTCATGTAAGTGGAAACCTTGGACGTGTGTGGCATGGTGTGCATTTGGTGGCCAGTGGATGTATCCGTTGCTGTCTTCCTTTTTGGTTAAGAGGACATGAGCGAAGAGGGTCAGGGTTTGTTTCTTGTGGCGTTTGTGGTTCCTATGGGGAGACCACCGCTCTTTCGTGGACCTCCCTAATGGCCCTGAAGGGAAGGACGGGGCCTTGCAAGAGCTTTAACAAGCTCCCCCTGCAGCTCCATTCCTGCTCCCCCCCTTTTAGGCAATGTGGTCTGGCTGGATGAAGTCACTGCCACTCGAGCGCTCATCAACATGAGCTCTATGCCGGAGGACAAATTGAAATCCCAAGAAAGCAGCAAGAAAGAGGCCGAGGCAAACAAAAAAGGTAGGTTTTTTCCTCATTTTCCGGGGCCGTTTGGCGGGTGTGCCAGGAGCCCTCGGGCCACTCGGGGCCACCTGTGGCAGCTCAGCAGTCACTCCTGTGTTGGCTTGGGTGGGGGGGGAAAAGTGCCGGGTCAGGTGTTTGCCAAGCCTGGAGTGGAGCCATCTCACAGCCCAGCCTCTTCCTCTTGCCAGGATCACCCCAAGACCCCTGTGCCTTGCAGCTCCTTCAGGGCCCTGCCCTGGGGCCCAAGGCAGGGCAGCCCTTCCTGCTCATTCTTACTTCCTTTCCCTCTCACTTCATTTACTGATTGGTCACATCCTGCAAAAGGAGACCTGATGAATGCTCTGAGCCGTAGGCAGGCTCCCAGGGCAAGTGGACCCCCCCCCCTGCGGGTCCAGGTGTGTGTGTGTGGGACCTGGGGACCCAGGTATTCCTAGCTGTGCTGCTGTAGCAAAGGGAGGCAGGGGAGGGGAAGGTCTGCTAGCTTGCAAGTCCTTCCTGAGCCAAGCCGGCCATGCCCTTTGGACCCCTTGACTCAGCATCTGTGAAGCCGCTTTCCCCCTCCCTCCAAGAAGCCAAGCTCTGCTGGAAGACCTGGCCAAATGCCGGGGATGTCTTCCTCTGCTTCTGTTTCCCAGTCTGACTGGGTCCTCTGCTGGGAGGCTAGAGATCCAGGATTGACATTAAAACCAGCAGCCTTGCGGCAAATCCCCAATTCTTTGGCAGGGCTCTGGGGATCAGCCATTTCAGGGGAGTGGACCAGAGATCCATCAACCCACCCCAATGCTCATCTGTGTCTTTGCGCTCTTTTGTAGAAAAACAGGAGGAAAGCTCTGATGAGGAGGCAGAGGAGGGCGAGGTGGAGGACGACCATCCAAGTGATACGGAGGTCAGTGGGGGGCGAAGGTTTGCGCCGGGGCTCTCAGAAGGGAAACTCCAAGGGAGGCAAATGTGCAGAGGAAGGCTTCTGAGCTGCAGCAGGCAGGAAATCAGAGCCGAGTGCTTGCTGCTCTCGGAGTAAGGAGGGACAGTGTTGGATCTCTCAGGCTGGAAGCAGAGAGGTGTGTGTGGGGTGGTGAAGTGGCATCCTTCCCATTTTTGGGGGGGAGAGGTATTTTTTAGCTTCTCCCGAAATGTGGAAGTCGGTGGATGGTTCTCTCCCCAGCTGGACACGCTCTCCCAGGTGGAAGAAGACTCCCTCCTCCGGAACGACTTGCGCCCGGCGAGCAAGTTGGCCAAAGGAAACAAGCTCTTCATGCGTTTCGCCACCCGAGGTAAACAGTCCGGCCCTTTCTGGACAGACTCTTGGCAGCCCCAGCAACCTGGCATTGCAGCCGCAAGGGAGTTCTCTGAGCCAGCCGTTTCCCAACCTTCGCTCCCGAGATGCGCTTTGGACCTCCAGAAATCCTGGCGAGCGCAGCGGGCGGCGAAGGCTTCTAGGAGTTTCGGTCCAAGAACCTCTGGGGAGCCAAGGTTGGGAACAACGGCTCTTAAGCTGGCCTGACGCCAAAGGGCTTTGTGACCCCGGTCGCCTGCTCCCCATGTGGCTGGCTGGATGCCCCACCGGGAAGCCCTTCAGCTGAGCACAAGCCTGTAACCGCCTTCCTGCTTGAGATCCCAAAAGCCAGAGGTGTCCAGGCTTTGATATGGGGCCGTTGGAGGCCACGTCATCCAGTGCAGGATGGATCTGCAGGGGATGCCCCAGAGAGGATGCCTCTTGGAGAGGACAGCAAGCCTGTCTTGAAGACCGTGGATTCCTGAGAGGTCTCTCTTCATGTTGAAACAGGCTCTGTGCCTGCCTACCTTCTACCCCTGTGATCGTCCTGCTTCCATAGGTCCTTTTGGACTGAGAAGGGACCCTAGATAGAAAGCAACGGCTTTGTGGTGGTGGTGGTGGTGTGAATTCCGAGGCCCCCACAAGGCACACCAGCAGCAGCGTTGCTGGCTGTTACTGGGACTCCTGACCAGTCTCTCTTGTATTTTCTGCCTTTGTTGCGTAGGCGTTCCTCATGTTTTCTCCGGATCTTCTTATTTTCTCTGTGGGTGGGTGGGAGCAGTTCTCAATGGGCAGGGGGATGAACCTCCAGGTGCCCTCAGCCCCTGAGTCTCGGCTTCCCTCTTGCAGACGACAAAAAGGAGCTCGGGGCTGCCAGGAGGAGCCAGTATTACATGAAATACGGGAACCCCAACTACGGTGGCATGAAAGGCATCCTGAGCAACTCCTGGTGAGTGGGACGGGGACTGGTGTACCGGAAGGAGGAGGCAGCCCTCCCCGGCCTTTTGTGCTACAACACCCCTGCAGCCCCCGGGATCTGCTCTCTGGGCTCCCTTTTCCCGCTCCGGCTGGGCCTCAACTGGCCAAGAAGACCTTGGGAGGGATCTCCCGCAGCTTCTTTGCTCGTGGTCCCAGTCCCGTGTGGAGGGGACACCCGTGACATCCATGTATTTTTAATGCCCTTTCACCTTGTGGCCTTCCAGGAAACGGAGGTATCATTCCCGCCGGCTGCAGCGTGATGTCATTAAGAAGAGAACCCTCATTGGGGACGACGTTGGCTTGACGCCACCTTACAAACATCGCCACGCTGGTAAGAACCCACCTGAGGGAGGAGGTTGTTTCAGGAGAAGCGACGTGTTGGGCAAGGGAGCAGCTTTGGAGGGCAAGCGCGGGGTGTTTCATCTCTCGCAGGGTGTGTTGGGAGTTGGAGAAGACATCCTTCCGGGGAGGAAAGGCTTGACCCTTTGTCAGCCCCTTTAAGCTCCTGCTCAAGCTTCCTTTGTATTACTAGAGGAGCCATTTAAACAGTGTCGCTTGGAGTGACAGGAGACAGAGGTCGGTGAGGGTTTGTGAATGGGGGGTGGCAGGTGGGGGGAGGCTGAGCGGCTGAATCGGTGAATATGAGGGTTGTCTCCCATCTGGCACAGAAGGTAATGCGGTCCCTTTGTTCCACCAAAAAAGTCTCCCCGTCTGGAATTGTGTATGTGTGTAACAACGCCACAGAAGCAAAAGCAGTTGAGGATTATGAGATGTGGCTGTTCATCCATTCTCCCAGAGGGTTTCTGGGTTGTAGGTGGAGGGTGGTCTTGGAGTGTAGATTTCTGACGGTACCCGAGGCATCTTTTCCCTCCACGGTGTGCTGTGATGACTGTTGCTTCCTTATACACGTTGATTTCAGAATTGTCATACAAAAACCTGACAAAAAAGGTCTCCGAATGCTTTCCTCTTCGTGTGTTGTACAGGCCTAGTCCATGTTCCTGAGGAGCCCATTGAGGAAGAGGAGGAGGAGGAGGACGATGACGACGAGGATGACGACCAGGACATGGACGAAGACGACCGCGTCGTGGTGGAGTACCGGGACGAGCTGCAGGCCTTCAAGCAGTCACGGGAGCGGAGCGCCTCCTGCCGGTCCAGCGCCAGCGAGTCAGACTCGGACGAAATGGACTACGACCTGGAGCTGAAGATGATCTCCACCCCGTCTCCCAAGAAGAGCATGAAGATGACGATGTACGCCGACGAGGTGGAGTCTCAGCTCAAGAGCATTCGGTGAGGCTGGCTGCCGACTTGGGTGATGCAAGGACGCCTTCTTGGGGGGCCTCTCGTTCCCGGTTCTCCATGTGGCAGGGGAAGGGGGCTCTAGCTATGTCATGTAGCCAGGAGGGGCTTCCTTCTTGACTTGGGAATAACTAAGGGCTGGCACCCTGTGCGAGGACTCCCACTCCTGACGGATGGCGTGGTCTTTGTTGAGTACCTGATCTGCAGGTGAGCTTTTCACAGGCACAGGGGCCTTGGCCTGCCTTCTGATCAGGACACCCTTGGGCAGAGCAGAATCTCCCAGACCTAGTGTATGTTAATGCACGCACACATTTGTACCTCCTCCTAGTCTCCTGGGGTCAGCGAAGGTTCCTGCTTTTATTATTATTTTTTTTTTGTAAAACAAATCACACAGGAATTCCATGAGAACTCCTCCCAATCTCCCAGGGTCAGCGAAGGTTCCCGCTTTCATTTTATTTTATTTTTAAAACAAATCACACAGGAATTCCATGAGAGCGGATAGCGTCGCATCCAGCAATATCAAGAATCGCATTGGGAGTAAGGGGCCTTCCGAGAAAATTGCTGATGTGCGATTCCTCTTGGAAGAGAAGCGTCACGGAAGTCCCGCTCAGCCACCGCTGCCGAGCAGTGTGAAATCAGGTAGGAGGAGGTGGGGACGGAGATTTCCTGCTGTTGGGTGCGTGGCTGGGTTTTTTTTTGCTTTCGTACACATTAGTATATTGCTGACACAGCAAGTCAACGTGTGTGAAGCCCCTGGATGCTCTGTAGAAGTTAGATGAGATTGGGAAAAAAAAAGAGATCAATGGAAGGATCAAGGAATATCAGAATTTTAAAGATTTCTTGGTTTGGCAGAGTGGCATTATGTAAAATGAAAATTATTCCTAAATTGTATTTTATATTTTGGATGCTTCCTATAAAGATTACAGATTTTTTTTGAAAGAATGAAATAAAAAAAAGAAGCTAGATGAGATATGAACCCTTCATCCAGAACAGAGCCAAAGGGGGGAAGGCCCCACCAGGCAGGGGGTCCGTCATAAAGATTACAGTTTTTTTTTTTGAAAGAATGAAATAAAATGAAATAAAAAAGAAGCTAGATGAGATATGGACCCTTCATCCAGAACAGAGCCAAACGGGGAAGGCCCCACCAGGCAGGGGGTCCGTGGCATGTCAGGTGTGTAAGGGGGTAAGTGGGCGGACTGCATTCCTATTGTCTGAGGGGTTATCGCTGAGCCCCACAGTGACACTGAAGCCTTTTACCCCCTTTTGCGTTGCTCTGACCCAAGGGAAGCACCCGAGGGCTGGGCCTGGGAAAGGCTTTACCATGCCGGTACTCACCAACCAAGCGGAAAGTGCCGCAGACGACAGCCCTGCGCCCGTGGGCCTCCTGTGCCCAGGGTGCCCTTGAGATATCGAGCTCTTAGGAATGAAAACGGGGTCAGTGGCTGTTCCCCGCTTCCCCTCGTGGTGCTTTGCGTGGGTCCTCTCCCTGCTCCATTCAGCACAGCTGAGAAAAAGTGATTTCCACCCCTCCCACCCCCTTTCCATTGGGCCGCCGGGCGAAACCGCACAGGGCTGAGCTCAGGCGCAACGTTTTGGGTGTTCCTTCCAGATGTCCGGCAGAGGCTTGGCAAGAGGCCGCACTCTCCAGAAGCCCCGCAGCCTGGCGGCACCTCGGCATCGCACCGCGAGCCCCCGATCTCGGACGTGCATAGCCGCCTGGGGATCCCTAAGCAAGAGGGGAAAGGCCTCTACTCGGACACCCAAGAGAAGAAATCCGGTCAGTTCTGGGAAGGGAGGAGCAGAAGCACCTAAGTCTTCTCAAGAGCCACTTGGGCTTGTCTGGTCAAGGGCAAAAATGCTAAGGGGTGGGGAGTTGTTTGCAGGGGGTGGCACCCTGTGCATTTATTTTTATTTGTGGCATATCTGCCTTGCCTTTCCTCCCTTGAGCTTCAAGGAGGTTCTCTCTCAGCACCTCCTTTATTCTCACAACAGCCGCATGAGGTTGGCCGGGCTGAGAACGTGTGATCCAGGCTTCGTCCTGGGAGCATTGTGGCCAAGAGAGCATTTCAACGTGGGTCTTCAGGGTCCTAATCTAACGTGTCAAGTGCTGTGCCTGCTGAGTTCTTGTTCAAATCAACGTGAAGGAGGTAGAAGTGGGTGGGTCGGCAGCCACAGATGGCAGCTGCTTCTCCTTCCAGGAAGAACCTCGAAAAGGCCATGCCCGGCCGATTGGCAAGCAGAGTTTCTGCCTCCTAGTCGGCACGGCGGCTCTGGCTTCTAGGTGATGTCCACTTGTCCACCTTGAGAATAAGAAAGTAGCTTCATGATCTATAATTAAGGAGGGGGGGGCACTATTCCAAGCCTTGAAACCAGAATCCCACCCAGAAAGCTGTTCAAGGGCTGCACATATCCTGAAAATGGTTTCCCTGTTGCTCTCATCCTGGAAATAGCAGCATCCCCTCCCAAGACAGAAGCAACCGATCGTTGCTGTAGGAAGCCCTTTGACCAAAGATGGAGGTAAGATACCTTAAAGAGGGTATCATTTTCATGACAAAGAGCCATCCTTGAGCTTCCTTTTGGACACTGAAGAGAAGGTTGGTGTGAATAAAACCCACGTTTCGGCAGAGCCTTCCCGAGGGGGTGACCCGGAACAACTCTTGTCCACGGATATCATTGTTTTTCAAAATCTGCCATCTCTTTTCTTTCAGCAAATTTATGGACACGTTTGGGAACTGCGTCCAAGACATCGGAGAAGGTTCTTGAGAGAGCAGAGAAGCCAGCCGCCACAGCTGAAGAAGAGGACTCGGAGCTCCAGCGGGCCTGGGGGGCCCTCATCAAGGAGAAGGAGCAGTCCCGGCAGAAGAAGAGCCGCCTGGACCACTTGCCCTCCCTGCAGATTGAAATCAGCCGCGAGAGCAGCTCCGAGTCAGAGGCGGAGTCATGACGGTCCTCCTGCAGCGGCTGCCTTTGCAGACTCGGCCGTCGGTCTCCAAAGGGATCTCTGGCTCAAGGGGGCCTCACTCTGCCAAAGATCTGATCCTGCAAAGTCTTTCTGGCACAGGATAGCACGGCATGGGCAACCTGGGCAGCGGGAGTGTTTCTGTGTGTCTCTTGTGTCCCCATAGAAAGCAGTTGGGGATTTTATAGAAAACTTCCTATGTTCTTTTCCACATCCCGTTTTATTTTAAGTGTGGAAACAAGTCTCCAGCCATTCCTTGAAAGGTTATGGAACTTTCCCTCGCTGCCCACATCTTCTGCCTCCCTGATCCTTCTCTCAGTAGCCAGCTAGGACAGTCTCTTCTGGACCGATCCAGCTCCTCTTCCAGAGCCGCATGGTGGGTAAATCCATGCAGACGTTGCCACCGAGGCCCTTCTCTGCTGTGTGTCCGTGATTCTGGATTATAACCTCTCAAAACTGACTGTCCGTAGTTTGGGGGATATTTTCTTACCCAGTATGGAGACTGAACAGCTGGGAGTTCCTGACAGGTGCTTTTTCTTTTTTCTTTGGTTCACTCTTGGAATTGACTTTAAAAGTATTTCCATCTGTGTAACATTTTACGAAAACAGCAGTGGAAATACTAGTTTTATATATATATATTTGTGACCCTTTTTTTTGGCTGTTGGCTACAGTGAAAGCTACTATGGTGGTTTCGTATGTGCAGTTCAAATTATATCTATACCTATGAGAAGAACATGATGTGCATCTGTCTGAGTGTGTAGGATCAAATGGCACGGCATACATATCAGCCTCTAATGAGAGCCTTTTTTTTTTTAGCACAAATGCTCTTCAAAGGAGCCGGGAGGTGAACCATTTCTGCTGCATCATGGAAAACATGCTTATTTCTGTTGCAGGTTCCCACTGATTTATTTTTATTATTATTTATTTTATTTATATCCCGCCTATCTAGCCACTTAAAGCCACTCTAGGCGGCTAACAGCAAGGATAATACAGTATAATTAAAACAATTGTAAGTAAGGGGAAAAACTTAGCAAAAGTGAAATGAAAATGAGGGAAGGAAAAAAAACAAAAACAAAACACAACAACAAAATAGGAAAGGCCTTTGAGAGGCAGGCGATCTGCTTTTCTCCATGCATTTGCCCCTCACTGCCTCTTCTTCTGCTGCCAGGGAGTTATGGTGCTCCCCACATTCTGGCTCGTTAAACCTGCTGCGAGCAATGTTTCCCTAGCAGGATTCTGTGGGGAGTCTGTCTGCCCCACAAGTGCAAGCAGCACCCTAGAGTCTTCTTTTTGTTTTCTGATTTTTTTTCTTTTAAGGAGAAAACTTGCTTTATACTAGGCTACAGGCTGCTGGATGCAGGTAGCAGTAAGCTGTCTCCTGATGCCTTCCCTGGACAAGTGGCTTTCCTCTGTGGAACTTCCTCTTCTCTTCCATGCCATGTCCTGCCTGGCTTCTTTTGTTACACAATGATCCAGGTCGGGCCTGCCTTACTTGCAGGGATGTGCCTCCTTGGTTCCTCCCGAGTGCCACTGTGGCCTCTTTCTGCCAGACAGGGATGACATTCCAGCAGGGAGAGAGTTCCACAGTCTGGCAGTAGCGACAGAGAAGCCAGGCCCTCTGCACCTGGGAGGGTGGCGGGACTGAGAGAAAGGCATCCCACAATGATCTTAAGGCCTAGGCAGGTTTCTAGCACGAGATGTCGTTTTGTAGATTGCTTGGATCCCAGCCATTTTGTAGGACTTTATCAGTTAAAACCAGCACTTTGAATTGTGCCTGGAAATGGATCGGCAGCCCGTGGAGCAGCTGTAAGGGATCGAGGTTGTGTGAATCTGGCTGCTGCATTTTGGCCCCACTGGAATTTTGAGAAGCAGCCCCGTGTCGGGAACATCCAGCCAAGATGTTACTAGAGCATGTGTTACAGCAGCCGGATCAGGCTTTTCAGCTGAGCTTTTTGAGGAAGGGGCTCTCCTCGGCGCGGCAGGAGTGTTTTGACTGCTGGTGTCGGAACTTCTCAGAAAAGGCGGCAGGCCTTTTCTTCATGCCGCCTGGCGCTGCAAGGAAGACATGCCACCTGACTCTTGAGCTGAGCTTCGGAGTCAAGCCCTTGGCCTCCCCTCCCAATGCAGAGCCAGAGGTTCGGAGTTTGATTCCAGACTGCGCCTCCCTGGCTCGGTGGTCCATAGGGTCTCTTCCAGGTTTGCAGTTTTAAGATGATGATGTGAAACATCCGAATTAGGATTCAGTCATTGAGCTGGCTGGATAGGTAGAGCAAGGGTTGAGGTCCCTGGCTGCGAGGGGTTGAGGTTGGGAGTTCGATTCCCCCACTGGGCCTCCTTGACGGGGGGGGGGACTCGATGATCCGGAAGGTCTCTTCCAGCTCTGCAGTTCTAAGATGATGATGATGACCCACTCCTAGATTCCTCCCCCAGCCCATTCACGAAGCCTTCCGCCTTGCAAAGGGGGCGGGGGGGGGCGATGCAGCTTCTTCCAGGCCGGGGATTCCCTCCCTCCCCGCGAGGAGGGGCGCGTCCCAAAGAGCCTCCCACCCGAAGGATGGGAGCGCCCCAACAAGAGAGGGAGACCCGGCAGTGACGTCGCCTCGCGTTTCCGGGCGGCGGGGCGGAGCCGCGAGGTTTGCTGTCCCTTCGGAGCCGCCGTCGCTTCCCTTTGTGGGCGGAGCAGAGGCAGGGCCCTCCCCCCGGCCGGGCCCCGGAAGAAGAGGAGGAGGAGGAAGCGGGAGGGATGCGGCAGCCACGGCGCTGAGCCCGCCGCCGGTAAGAGCGCCCGGGGAGCCGAGAGAGGGCTCCTGAGCATGTGCAGAGGGAGGCCTGTTTCCCCCTCCCGGGACCCGAACAGGCGGGCGGGCAGGCCTTTTCCCGGCCTGCGGGCGCCCCTCGTTCGGCGGCCTCCCCTCCTGCCTCGCCCGGGTCCGCCTCGGAGGTCTCCTCGAGGGGCGGCGGAGGCGGGCGGGGGCACCTCCGACCGGTCCTCTCCGGGGGGGGGGGCACCCCGTGCGCCTGGCCGA